ATCGTTTTATAGCTACGCTTACTTCATCGCTTATAAAAGGCAACATAAACGGGATTTTGTTTTGGCCAAGTGTTTCGCGTCGTTCTCCTTGTAAACTTATCTCGTGGGGTTACTATTTCGTAGCCATTGGAGATGGCTACTTGCCAAGCCAAGTCGCGCGATTCTTCCTTTAGTTCCCTGGTAGTGCACACAGAGGTGGCTGTTCGAAACATGTTTCTCACAATTGCCCTCTTTGTGTGTGAAGGGTGGGAAGAAAGGAAATGGACAAGGATGTTTTTGTTACCTGGCTTTCGATACCACTTTGTCAGGTAACCGCTACTTGTTCAACAAGAAGTTCGAAGATGGCTTGCATTGCGGAGTCATTCGATATGTTGGTGTACAGTGCGGTAACGTCGAAAGACTCCATCACGTACGCGTTATTGGGAGACGCGTTACGTAGACGTTCTAGAAACATTTGGGTGTTTGTGAGGTGAGCTGGAATGTGGTTAAGCAACTGGGTAAGTATCAGGCTTAAAAACCAGGTTATTCTATCCGTTGGCCCGTCTACACAGCTGATGATCGGTCTAACCTTAAATGGTGACGGATTGGTTGACGCATGATCATCAGGTGATACCAACTTATGTGTTTTAATAAGTAGGTATAGGACGGGACATGTAGGTCTATCGATTTTAAAGTGCGAAATAACCGATGATTTTAAACCCGCAGCCTTTGCCACGCTGACCCATTAATTGTTTAGTTTTCGGTATTGACTTTTATATTCCTTTTCAGAGGATGGGCGATAGAGAGTAGCATCACTAAGCTGTTCCTCTGTTATCTCAACATCCAGCTGGCGAGGGTTTCTTGGTTTAATATTTTCTCTGTTTGGTTATGGAGGTGCTTGGTTAAGTAGATTGCGGTCAACTTGACCCCAGAGGCTCTGAGGAAGGCGAAATCAGTCGATACGTCAGCTTATTCGTCAATAAAGAATAAAATAACAGCTCGTGTTTGCTAGACAAGAATATAAAAAATTGCTGGATCAATGCCGAGGTTAACAGAAAGTCGATCGTAGGAATTATACTTACTAGTGCTTAACTAAAATTCAATGAAACAACAAGTTACTGACCTTGTCTTCGCAAACGATGTACCCACGCTTTCACACGAACACGCTGTTCTCTATAATTCACACATTCGGAAATTTTTACTACTTTCGCGTTTGGTAAAGTTTCGTCGATGGATAAAGTTATCTGTAAAAGGAATCTCAGAGGCATACACTGTTCGAGAAAAAACAACCAAACGATAATAACAGCAACAGAAAAAGAAACTGAGGACAATAAGCTACACCTTCTTCGCTTCCTCCAATGCGGCTAGTGTTGAAGCTTGATGTTCCTTTACCTGTAGTTGAGCTTTTTCTACTTTCTTAAGCTCTGCCTCATACCTGACGAAGGAACGGAAGTAAATTTAGGAAAAAGAAGACATTTAGGATCAAAGAACGCTAGCCTACTTTTTCAAATTCTTCTTGATTGCTGCTTTTGAAGCAGGTTCCCAGGTCTTTGTTCCATCCTCTTTCACACTACGAACCAAAAATTCTCCTGTGTTCTTTGACAGAACCATAGCCTTAAGAAAAAATTCTGATCCATTGTTTAAAGGTGAATTAAAAGCAGCGCATTTACCACTAGGCAAATTTGTAAGAGTCTCACCTGGAAAATGGTTCCAAGTGGTCGTTCTTCGCTACCGTCGTTATGGTCCGAGCCAAATTCACTACATATGTAAAATTTAGTCATATCAATAGAATGGCCTCCCTGAAACTCCTCTGACCATAAAAAATCTAGGTAGGCGTTCTTCAAGCAGAGGGGAGGAATGCATATTTATGAGAGATTATTCTTAAAAGAGGATGTAGTACAGTAGGTGAGATGGTGAAAATATGAAGAAGTGAGAGGAAATAAACCAGAAAATAAGAAAACGAGAAGGACTCGTGCGAAGTGGCTGTGTGGAAACATGCAGATTCACAAACTGCGAGAATTCGAAGCGATACGGTTCACTGATGTCAGTGCAAAATTGGTAAGAAGACCTACAGAAGTAGAACTTGAACAGCGCAAGAAACTTGTTGAAAATAAACACATAACTTCTACCTAAACTCCAGTAAACAATACAATCGACTACCTGGTTTCTTTGAGAAGCTAATAGCGACGTCTTCGTCTTCATTAGAGCCGAAGATACGAGTCGATTTCCACAGTCGCTCTTTTTCTGGATGCGGTGTCTCCGCAGTTGTTTCGAGTCGAATCGACCACTTCAGTGAGGTAACGCTCGAATGAGGCCACCTCACCTGGCTCTGAGGAAGATGAAGACGTCAAAACGCCAAATGAATAAGTGTCTGCTAAGAACCTCGTGTTAGCCTATCAATGAAACACGGGACACTGACCATTTATAGTCGGGATAAATGCAAGGCAGTTTACAGGGATATACAATCAGCACCACGTCAAAGTAAATGCCATGCAGACCAGTGGTCTCGATGAACGACGCGGATGATGACGACGAACAGTTGCGATTACGCAATAGGTTTCAATCGACGGACGACTCATCGCCAGTCGCGCGTCGCGTGTTCAGGAGCGTGGGCGGCATGAGGTGGACGGACGTGCGAGAATAGGGATCTGCTTCCTGGAAGGTTCGCATGGTAAGCTGGACTTAGCTGAGAATGATGCTGAGAAAATGATTTAGGTTGACGATGCTGTACGGACCAGTTCTGGTGGACTTTATCCGCTCTTTTAACGGTCCTTTTTATCCCCGTTCAAATGTTCGCCTGCAGCTTAGAGATATTTGTTACCATGTGTGGGCAGAGGAGTTGGCTTGCTACTTCGACCTCGTCTTGAAAGAATCCCATTCACAAGACAGCAAACTTCGCTCTAATCTACAATAGTCGGCGACTACCGGTGACGAAGAACTAAGGACATCTATGCGGGGTTATTTTGGGATTCCAAGGAAAATCACTCTCGACAAGCATCCATCGTTTCGTAGAAGACAGAATACGACAGCAAACGCCTAATATATGTACGGTATTGATCACCTCTATAGATAACGGTTAAAAAACAGCTGCTAAACGGAAGGAAAGACTGTTCAGGTCCGCACATAATCTAAAGAGCAGCCATCTAAGGTGAAACGATGAAACCTTTTAGACAAATAAGTAGATAATAAAGAAAAGGATAAAGCTCACGGCATTACTCCCTAAGTGATGAGCTATGCATTGCCGACCCTGGAGGGATGGAAAGTTTGGTGGACCATGGGCGCCGGCATCGATACCACATGTGTGTCGCAGTGGCGCCTACGACCACTACGCCCAAATAAGTAGATATTGCAAAAAAAATCCTCATTCCAGATTTTCCAAATAGATGTTGTTCAGTAACCCTAACGCTTTTTGGAAGACAATAGACGAACTATTGCAGAAAGATGATTCTTCCACATAATTGAGCATTACTTATATAAAGTCCTCTGAATAACATCAAAGACTGTTCAGTCTACTCTCTGATTGGTCCCCAGCAGTGCTCAATGGTCCATAGCTACAGAGAACAATTCTCGGTAGGTGAAATCGATAGCGAACCTGTATGGAGCAATGGCTTAGAATCAAAATTTTTGTTTCTACATTACCGCATAGATTTAGTGGGCTGCTGTTGTTATTGTGATCTAACAATTCTTTCTGAGCCTCGAGGGATAAATGTCTCACCTAGGAATGAGCTTGCCGCATTGACTAATTTCCTTCTTGTCGCCGTCAAATTTTTGTAAGAATGATGATAGGTGACAGGCTATCAAATCTTGAGTTACATAGCATTCTAGCAGAGATAACGAAAGACGTTCACGCCCATGAAAACTCCTGAATACTAAATCTCTCATAAATAACCCCTGTAGTAGATATCACTGCTTCATTTGTTTGAAAAGTTCTCCCAATGTGACAATCGACTTTTTCAGCAAATAGTTGTATAAACGTCATATGTTCAATGAATAAAAGATAAAAAATCTCTCGGCGTTGATCAATCCCCGAGAGATGAGCCATGCATTCGAATTCACTAAGCATCGTTGAAGGTGATCGAGTGCACATGTAGCCGTTCCAATGATTCGCGGTGGCCTACCGATGTATTGAGCCAGTGTTGCTATCCACCCAGACAAGTATGTTACCAATTTGCCGACCGCGGAGGGATGGAAGGCTTGGTGGGCATGGGCGCTGGGATCGATTCCACGTGCGTATCGCAGTGGAGCCTCCAACCACTGCTCCACACGCTCCCGTTCAATGAATAATGTATGATGTTTTACAAAAAATCGCACATGTAGTGATAAGAGGTCCATAGTTTATTTTCCGACTGACATCTTCCTCGTTCTTCATTACAATATGGACACGAAGGCACGTGGAAACTGCACAGGTGCAGTTGAAAGTTTCAGTATCTAAGTGACTACAAGTACTTCTCAGTGTGTTACCAACATGCTACCACTTTTTACAGAAGTTCTTGAAAGACTACCTTGCTAATGTGTTGGCGACATTTGATTCTCAGCAAGTAACTCCTGCAGTAGTTATCACCATGATATTCGTTTGAAAACTAGGAAAATATGTGAGAGTAGATAGGCTACCCGAATGCTCCAGGTACGCCTATCTAGGTCGGGAAATCAGCATGATTAACGACTTGGCTCCGGAGTTGAGTAGAAGGAAATGAGTGGCTTGAGTAGCTTTCAAAAGCATCGAGGATATAGTGAAGAAAACAAAGCTCCTTGAGGATTTCGTCTTCTTCATGAATGTCTAGAATTGTGGTTGAGTCAATTTCCCTTGTAATCTTGGAGATAACCGGCCTAAAGCGTTTACACGTGGACTACAGGAAATCATTGTGGCGGTGATCCAACTAG